GTTAGCTGAGTTACAACTGAGAAGTGACAAAACACTCTTTGAACGTTTCCTTTTATGCCAACATGTTATGATGTCCCCGGTCTTCACTCATCAGCTTCAGGCTGGTTAGAATGTGCTATGAGTGAGAATCCTGCTGGGTGGCAGAGAGGACTGCCTCCAAGGTCAACCCAGGAAGGTTCAACCTTGACCTGGGGCTGGCGAGAGGGTGCAGCAGGTGGAGGGGCTTGCTTCCAGGCCTGATGATGTGAGTGTGAGTTGAATCCCCAGATGGCTGAAGAGTGAACTGACTCCCACAAGTGGTAAACTGACCTCCATGCATGTGCATACACACACACACACACACACACACACACACACACACACACACACACACACACACACACACACACCTTGAGCTGCCATTGGTGTGGATGAGACCTTGGGTACATGGATCTCCCTTCCTCCTCGGTAATCATCAATACCTACCAAATGATGGCTGTGGTTGGATCAGAATAGTACGTTGTGTATAAAGCACATCTAACCGTGCCTTAAGTAAATACTTTCATTTCTAGCAGAGAGGATAAGAAACCTCACAGGCGATAAGAAGTAAGAAATGGGTCAGAAACCCATTTCTGCCATTACTATACATAAAGTTACAAAGCCTCTTTGGACCTCAGTTTCCTTGTAAGTAAAATAGGGGTGTTCATGCCTACATAGCTTTGTATCCAGAAGTGTGCAGAACGTTTTGGCAGACATTTTTGGTCTTGTACTTTTGGAGACAGGGTCTCATTAGACCAGGATGGTTTTGAGATTGCTGTGTAGCCAAAAACTATCTTGACCTGATCCTCCAGCCTCTACCTCCTGAGTGTTGTGATCACAACTGTGTGCTACCACATCCGGTTTATAGGGTGCTGGGTACCAAATCCAGGGCTTTGTGCACATGAAGCGCACACAGGATCAACTAAGCTATGTCACCAGCCCTTTTGTTGATGTCAAGGTTTTGACAAAGGGTCTCAGGCTAGCCTTGAACTTGCTACGTAGCCAAAGATGACCTTAAACTCATGATCCTCCTGCCTCCACTTCCTGAGCGCTGGCAACACCACGCCCAGACTATGAGGTAATAGGAATCAACCCCAGAGCTTTGTGTATGCTCCATAAACACTCTGCTGAGCTACAAACCGAGCCTTTCATTCTGGCTGTGGTTAAAACATGGACTCCTATAACCCAGCTTGGTCTTAAACTTTGTAAGAAGCCAACCTTTGGATTTCTGATCCTCCTGCCTCCATATCCAGAGTGTCAGGATTACATATGTCTGTCACCACCCAGCTTAGTAAATGCTCAGTCCAATTCCACAGACAGCATGGATCCTTCCACACTGAAGACTCTCTCTTCCTTAGCTCAGTCTGGCCTCTGACAAACAGGAACAATAAGAATCTGCCCGGGGCATGGCAGTGACCTCCATACCCTGGCATCTCCTTGGAGAAGGACCTATTTCTCATATGCCCTGGGGGCTGAAGCATAGGTTACCCCCGCGCCCTGCAGTGGCCACTTCATTCAGGCCCTGGTTACCCATACAGGGCCGCCTGTCACCTGTCAGTTTGCGGTATCTAGAGACATGCACACCTGCCCTCGACCTCCCAAGATTTTCCTTAACTCTTTTCTCAGAGTGAGGGAAAAACAGCCCATCTTGGGCTACCTCCACCTTCTGCACCTCTGTGTAGGAAGTCAGGGCCCTTGGGTCCCCCATCAGACTGCCTGCCTGAAGCACTCACTGGAGCCAGGAACTTGCCTGAGAAGCCAGTAAAATTTTAATGCACTCTGTAGTGCGGTCATGTCATACTCGGTTATGGCAAATAATCCCAGATGCCTGCAGAGGTAAAATGGAGCTGTAATGTGCTTGCCTCCTAACCCGAGCTGACAGCGGTGATGTACGACTACCATTAGCGGAAAATATCACTTCAACTAACCCATGATCCGGCTCCGCTCAGGGTCACATTATCCATGAGGAACAAATTACACTCCCAAAGTAAATACAAATTTTCTACACAAAATGGGTACACAGAGAGAGAAAGACAGAAGGAGGGGGGCAGGGAGGAGGGACAGGGAGGGAAGGGGTAAAGGGGCGATCCATTCTCTTCCTCCTTGGTGCTGAGTGACACAGGTGATAAAAGACAGGACGATCATTGGCTGACGGAGTGCTAACGCTGTAATCAGCTCAGCTGGTACACACTCCAGCCGATAAACACTATATTCTCCCCTTAGTGGCAAATACATAATCCGTAATGGGAACATGGCCGCTGCAGATATTTACTGCCACTTGGGCTTAAGGGACATGGCTTCTTGAATTCGGTGCCCAGAAAGGAAGGGCCCTGTGGCCCCAAGGGACACAGAGATTGCTCACAAGGGTCGGGACTGATGTTTGGGTGGATGAGAGGGTTCTGGGTGAGGGAGTGAGGTCAAGCGATGAACAAGAGCCATCATGTGTGGGAGTGATCGGTATAGCACATTCCTGCATGCGGGTCACAGATGGGCACCAGTCTGGATCAACCTCACAGGAGGGAGATGCTAAGGATGCCTCTATTCCAGGCTGAGCTCTGTCTGGACAATGCTTGGGCATGAAGGTGAGTCCCTCTTCCTTTCTGAGACTTGAACAATTAATAAAGCAACTCTTAGTTATAATGCTAGTAATTTCTGGGTGCTTACAATGTATTAGTATTAGTAGATACTAGGGGGGTGAGTTATCCAGAAACCTAGTATTTAACTAAATATTAAATGTGCACACACACACACACACACACACACACACACACACACACACACACACACACACACACATGCATGCG